CAATCTTTTGAAATAAAATCGAAATATCTATCTGGATTAGTTTTTAGCCTCTCCCCTACATATGATTTAGTGTGTGACCCATATTCTTTTCTAACAAATGTTTGACTTATCCATTTCCAGCAACAGCTGGTTGGTCAGAACAGAACTTGGTTGTATGTTGGGGAATAGCTGCACATGATATACATCAAAAAAGAACATGAAGTAATATGCGTAGTGACTTTGTAGTTAAAAATAATAAATAACAAAATATTATGACTATACCAGTTTCCTACATTGGCCAAGAGACTTTTAAACATTTAACCCCTGCAATCCGGGTGACATGACCATCACATCATGAAAAAAAACTGGTCTGAGGGGCAGGTGACGTGAACATGCCGTCACGGGACAATCCGGCTGCAGGCCGGGGGACACAAACCTGCTGTTGTGAGCTTTTTGGCTGAAGGCCGGGGTGATGGGAAAGACGCCACGAGTGCACAAACCTTTTGGGAGGTTGATTAGACTCATTTGGCAATTTTGCATTATTCAAATCGATGTATGAGTGTGGAATGTAATGTCTGTGAACTATGACTAGAGGAGCACCAAACTCCATGGAGGATGCCACTTCTATGCTTAGCATCATATTAATGCCTGTGACCAGCATCATATGTTGTATTATAGAGAATTTAATATTACAAGAGAGAAAGAGAGAGAGAGAAAAATAAATAAATAAGTAAATAAAAGTGTTACAAATTTTAATTTTTCTTGCACCAAGTTATAGACTACCAAGAAAGATGATATGGAGTCTGTGCAAACTAAACAGGCTATTACCACCTGGATAATGCAAATCAAATGAAAAATAAGGACACTGGAAAAAGGCAAAAAAGCTAAATGCTAATGTGTAAAAAGGGGAAATAACATTGCAAATAGGAGGCCTAGAGTCTTGTCACTGCACAAATTTGTTCGCATATACTCGGTCTACAAGCTGCCACTCGAGAGCAGCTGCTCATGTAAGACTAATGCCTGGATTTTTTGTCATGCGATTGCTGTGCCTCAACCGGATCGAAGGGGGTTAAACTTTCAAATTCACTCTTCAGACCATATCACAAACCGCATCTAAAATAGCCCATCCATTTTACAAGATTTAACCATAAGCCATAATCACAAATATTTGTCACTCACCTGCAATATCTACCTTGATGTTCTTGTCCACAAAGAGAGCGCCATCGAAGGAAAGAGCAGTTTCTAAACTTTTGGCATCTTCAAATTCCACGTAGCAGAACCCTTTGAATCTGCCACTTTCATTGTCATACACCAGTCTCACTGTTCGTACCTATGTAGAAAGTATTTGTAATAAGTGAATGCAAAAATGGTTCCAGCAACCCTACATACAATTACATTACAGTCAATAAAAGGAACAGAGGAATATGGAGAAAAATAAAGTAAAAAGAAAATAAGAGACAATACAGCAAGAAAGAGAGTGCTATGTAAAGATGCAGGAGAGGATATACATTAAAAATAACGCTAATGAGAGTATGCACTTGTAAAGAATTTTTCTTTAAATAAATTTATCTTTGATAAAAACAATTAAAGATGGTGTCACACTTAGATTTTTTCTGCACTGTAATGTCATTAGCACTACAGAAAGGATATGGTGTTATTAGCAATAAGAACCATGGAACCAGTCCAATGAAAGTTTGCAATCGTGACAAGATGGTCCCTACCCCTGCATGTGCACATGTACATACACATGCACACACACGCATGCATGTTTGCCATTGAAAACAATAACTATCATATGACTGGGAACTATCATATTCAAGCCAAATACCAGAGGCAGTGGGGGGAAAAAAAGTGCTAGTGTAACACACCCTTAACAGCATCAAATATTCTATATGGCCAATATGCCAAACTGAATGTTGGACCATAATACATATGCAGAGCACAACCCCTGAATACTTCAATTTCATAAGCTCTCCTAATAAACTCAAACAAATTCCTGCTTACCCTCTGGGCCTTGAAGATCTGGTCGATGTCACCCTGGACAACGCCATTTGGAAGGTTCCCGATGTAAGCTGTGAAGGGAGGTTCCGTTGGCATTGACCTGCGAGGCCGACCGCCGCCATATCCCCGGCCGCCATCATTGTAACGGTTTCCACCTCCTCCTCCACCACCGCCGCCCCCACCGCCACCGCCGCCACCTCCACCACCTCGATAGCTATTCCTGAAAGAGAGAGGAATGCGGTCATACAGACAGAGTTTTGGGTGTCTAATACCAATCTTACTTCTCTTTCCATCACTAAAGCTATGGAAAATAAACAAGGTAAGGGTTTATGACAACAGTCCCAATTTGGACCCATGAAAAAGTGAACCCCAACCTAACTGCACAAACAACCATAGAGATTACTGTATAAACCAAAAACTCTCCTAAACTGGGTGTGTTTTCCCTGGATCCCTGTCAAATGCTGCATTTCCCTAACTGGTGTTTAACCCCTGTGTAGCTGTATGCCATGGCAGCACACCGAAGCGTGGCGAGCCAGTGATTCGGCTTGATGTACCAAACTCCCGCGCTCAAAGTCGGCGCGCTGCCATTGATCGCCAGAGCATAGAATTTTTTTTTTTTTTTTTTTTTTTTTTTTTTTTTTTTTTTTTTTTTTAAGTTATAGTTTTAGTTTTCATCACCTGTCACCATTGGGTTAATCTAATTCTCTAGACAAATTGAGCAGCTTAGACAAATTTGGTTGCAGTACAACATTTAAACATTTATTATAGGCATACTATTGTCAATAACTTTTGACCATGCACTATTTCCTTTATATCCTAAATATTTTTAGCTCCATGATTAGTCACACCTTTTCTATATTATATAATGTCTATCTTTCCTTGACTTCTAGAAATAGATCCTGGAAGTCAATCTTTTGTGGTGGTATTGCCCTACTCAGCCCCCCCCCCCCATTAAATACACTTCATATTAGAGGGTTTTAGCTTTATCTGTCAAATAAACAATCAAAGCACAGAAAATCCCGCTTCAAAAGTCAGTGCAACTGACATTACCAAGATTTACCTAGATAACTCTTGAATGGTTGTATGCACATTTCATTGGGCACCTCTAGCAGAAAAAAATGTGAAGTTGAACAGTGGGTTGCTTTAGCAGATGACATGTAGAAGACTGAAAATAAGCTAAATGGCTACTCCTTTGATTCAATATAAATATATGTATACATGTAACACATGTAATATAGCTTATAACAGACTTCACTGAAGACATATAAAGGGTTCTCCTTTACAGGACAGATGCACTTGCCAAGGACTAAGTCCCCAACTCCAAGTTACAAAATTTACTCAACTATCTAGGTTGCCTTGACTGGACAGGGCACTGGCCCCTAACACCCATGGGAAACATTGTCTTTACCTCAGTATGCATGGCAATATAAAACAAACTCTGGAGGACCAAGTGAACTTAGGATGTAATCTTTTTCTTTGATTGTGGCATTCTCTTCAAGTCTGCAAATTATTTCTTGTACTGAAGACTGCAACTTTCAATTTGCCCTACATTAGTGAGTCCATACCTTAAAGATTAATCTTCTCTTGCGTGCGTGCGTGCGTGTGTGTGTGTGTTTGTTTTTACCGACTTTCAATAGCAAACATAATATTAACCCTAGTTCTTTCATGACTTATGGCAGATAAAACAAATAGCCATTTATGCCTTTGATTTGACAAATAACTTTGCTCATATTGAAAAATCATTTTTAGAAGTCGGTTTGCCTAACTGAATACCAGAAGGTTAATGTTTTCGAGAGAGATGCACAGAGATAGAGGGAAATGGACACTGCCATCCTATAGAACAGAAATAAAGTCATAAAAAACACAGGTAAAGCTGTGTGGCCACATATCTACCACAAAATGACAAAAATATCCCTTATATATCACCGCTCACAGACTAAGTCCACAACACCTCCACAGCCAAATATTCTTAATCTTCCAATAGGAAATGCAGTATGAAATGTTAGGTTTGTTTTTTTGGGGGGTTCACAGGATACCCCAATATTTAGGTATGTGCAAGTATATATGGAAAAAAATAAATAAAGAAAGAAAATCTGGTTTTGGAACTTTGTCTCTGGCAGAACTCTCATTAACAAATACCTACCAAAAATACTAAATAAATCATAAAGCCTTCAAAGTGTAAAATATACTGAATATCAATGATCTATCATATGAAAATTTAAACATACATTGCATGGTTTGACTAGTAATCTATGGATTTTCTTGAAAACATTGTGCCCTGGATTGTGAAGAGTTCTTTGACCTGCCTTTCAATCTATTGGCATTTAAGGAACCAGTCAAAGCTCTATGTTGTCAGAATATATATGGAGGAATTTTCTTAGTGTCTGCTAGAGCACAGAGTACACAGATCACATCAACTGCTTGACACTATGCCAGTATCGGAATGGACTTCACACTGTGAGCTTCCTGTCACACTGATCATAGCTGATTTCATGCCAATACAACTCCAGCTACATAATTAATCCCTCAGTGATGGTATTATAAATCTCTCAGCTTCATAGACTCCTGTTATTTGCAGAAACCATCCAGCTACAGAGCGCAAGAGCCCACAACATGTAGTGGAACTTCCCGCCATACACATATACATACCAGGCAGATCAAGCAGTTTGTTATGATGGCTATACACGTGACCCTGCAATGACAGGGGGGAGGGGGGTACTCTGATTACCAATTCAAGCAGAATTGGCAGCAGGAAAAGAAAAGAAAAGAAAAAAAAACTTTCACATAATATATGATCATCTTCATCTGCATACAGATTAATCAAATGATACCCATGGAAGTATAAATATCGCCGTGGATATTCGTCCGGCACCGGATCTCATCACGTTTTGGCTATTCGTCCGGCAAGCATGCGCATTAACCATTTGCGCATCAACACACACTCGCATTTGCGCAATCATCAAAACAAACGTTGGCGCCATTTTTTATGTTTGTGGATCTGGATTTCTGTGTAGGATACTTACACAAAGACTAAACTTAACAGTCTTGTACCTACAGTATGCTGATCTGCTATGTTGATATTTATCCTTTTTTAAGCACATTCAAATAAGATTGTCCAGTAGAAATAAGACCTGACTTAACCTAACAACCTAACCTAAGCTAACCTAACCTAACCATCTAAGCTAACAACCCAAACCAACCCTCTGCTATCTCTGCTATTTATTTTCCACACGGGAACCTCTAAAGACAAACAAATTTGCCAAATAATGACAAGCTGGAGATTTTCAATAAAATAGCAAACAAAAATTGCTTCCTGCAATATTGCTGGGAAAATAGCTCTACAGGATAAGTGTCCTACAGAAAATGCCGGAAAATTATCCCAACTGAGACGAGATACAACAGCGAAATTCGCGCAAATTGTTAATGCGCATGCGTGCCGGAAGAATAGCCAAAATGTGATAAGATCCGGTGCCGCACGAATATCCACGGCGTATAAATATTCCTTAGAAACTGAATACAATTGAAAGACACTGGAGACTGTCAAGTTACACCTTTCATTAACAAGCATTCTGTGCCATAATGTGGACTGCTATTAATATTATTCTCTTCTAGATTTCTTTTGACCAACAAATCCAGCAATACGGCAGCCGCAGTCAAACACGTCCTTCCCCGTTTGCGAAGAACAGTCAGAGAATAACATATCCCGTAATTTAACAAAATGCTGTGCATGATAGTAAGTTTGATTTTAATCTTCTCTCACAACTCGGACACTTTTTAAATAGTTTTCCAGCATATTTCGCAATGCAACAGCTGTTGTATATCAATATCATCTAACTTGGTGACTTTTCAAAATCAATTTCCTAGCGAATGATTTAAAAATATTACAAATACAAGCTATCCAGAAAAAAAAATGCCCTGACATGAACCCAACTGCTAAAAAAAAAAAACAACAACAAGAAAAACACATTTAAACAGAAATGCAACCTCTCTCACTCCCATCAAAAAAAAAAAAAAAAAAAAAAAAAAACGAAAAATTCACCAAAACCGGGACAACGCCCACAACATAACCAAATTTACGACAAATAATGTAATTAAACTGTCCTACCTGCCTAATTTAGGGCCGAGGTCAGGAGGTCAAGCCAGGTCAAAGTACAATGTATAGGGTGGCAGGATGGCTTCAATAATTCTAGCATCACCCTTTTTATATTTCTCTTGCAAATACCTCCCGCGTGTTCTAACGGCTCCCGTGAACCTCGTCACGATCTCTTAAATACCGCCAGCGCCTCGTGAAATTCCAATTCCAAAAAATATGAAATTCCTGTTTGTAAATTCTACCCCGACGCGATCAACAACCACACCATCAACAAACCTCCTCCTTTTTCCCCACTTCCCCAGCACATCCCGAACCCCAACCGTCCTCTAATATTCTCCCTGGCTCCTTACGAACCGACCGAGGAACAAATCGGGAGAAATAACCCCGAAACTCACATGCTGTTGAGGGAAATATTCAACCTTACCGGGAATAGAAATCATCAGCGAGACCTGCCATGTTGGGTTCAGGGCGAGGCCAAGGCGAGAGTAAGGGAAAAAAGCATGCCGCGTTCGAATCACTTCCCTTGCCTCTTTTTCTAATATTTCAATTCTATTCGGGTTATTTTCGAGAGTTTAGTGAGATTTGGGATGTTATGGTTGAAATTTGAGGTTTTAAATATTTTTGGGGGTACGAGAGGACAAGGTAAACAAACATATCGGTTAGTCTCGCCTTGACGCAGCATGGCGAGGGGAGACACGCGTGAAAAGGAACCGAAAACTTAACAGACCCACAAGAGAAAATCCAGGGAGTATTGACTACCATATAGTCTAAAACCCTATAAAAGAAGAAGAAGAAGAAAAGGGACCAAAAACTGAACTACGATGCAGCTCATCAGACTTCCCGATGAATTACGCCATGCCATCTTGGCCCTCACGTCCCCCTTGACGAAGGAGCAATCCAAGGGCGCCGTGGTGATCATGAAGCATGTCGAGGCCGAACTCCATGGTCTTTCGGTAGGTTGAGATGAGGGAAGGCATGTCGAGGCCGAACTCCATGGTCTTTCGGTAGGTTGAGATGAGGGAAGGCATGTCGAGGCCGAACTCCATGGTCTTTCGGTAGGTTGAGATGAGGGAAGGCATGTCGAGGCCGAACTCCATGGTCTTTCGGTAGGTTGAGATGAGGGAAGGCATGTCGAGGCCGAACTCCATGGTCTTTCGGTAGGTTGAGATGAGGGAAGGCATGTCGAGGCCGAACTCCATGGTCTTTCGGTAGGTTGAGATGAGGGAAGGCATGTCGAGGCCGAACTCCATGGTCTTTCGGTAGGTTGAGATGAGGGAAGGCATGTCGAGGCTGAACTCCATGGTCTTTCGGTAGGTTGAGATGAGGGAAGGCATGTCGAGGCCGAACTCCATGGTCTTTCGGTAGGTTGAGATGAGGGAAGGCATGTCGAGGCCGAACTCCATGGTCTTTCGGTAGGTTGAGATGAGGGAAGGCATGTCGAGGCCGAACTCCATGGTCTTTCGGTAGGTTGAGATGAGGGAAGGCATGTCGAGGCCGAACTCCAAGGTCTTTCAGTAGGATGAGATGAGGGAAGGCATGTCGAGGCCGAACTCCAAGGTCTTTCAGGAGATTGAGATGAGGGAAGGCATGTCGAGGCCGAACTCCAAGGTCTTTCAGTAGGTTGAGATGAGGGAAGGCATGCCGCTGATGACGTTCTCGTAAGGTGTTTCCCCACTGCTGTTTTCTCTCCCTTTGGTTTTGTAATGTGAGTGCGTTCTTATTTTGAAATTTTGAGAGACGTTTAAGGTAGAAGATTGAAGGCAGATGTATTTTTTTGACTCGGTTTGAGTTTTATTTATGGAGGAGTGACAGGTACTAGTCTTCACTTGTGATTGTTTTTTCACAGATTAAAAGAAATCAATTGGCCATTTCTATAATAAAGTTATGACTCTAGCCACCAACCTTGGGGGCATTCCTGGCAGTCCTCAAACACCGCTGATTGAACCAAAAACTATTTTAACCTTCCCGGGCACTATATTTCTCTTGCTGGGGGCTCTGTTCTTGGACTTCTACCCAATCACCATAGATTTAGGCATTTATTGTGATCCATTTTCTTTATTTCTGAGATATTTTGCCTGTGTAGATTATTTCATGAATCAGTGAGTGTGGAATTTCTCCATGTTTTTGACAGTGTCTTTAGATTTTCCCAAACTTGGTGCAGTTTGTTTTATAAAAGAGTAATGAAGAATCTGACCATACCATTCAGGAGAATGTAACATTCTAAGATTTTTTACTATATCAATTCCTACACAAATATACATTACAGGCAGTATAGAGATTATAAAACTTATATTCTAGGAGGGCACACTTCCAGCACTAAGAGGAAATGTCCTTAAATCAGAGAATAAAAAGCTCCTCAAAAGATATATGCAATGGTAGAATATATATGCAAAGTCCTCTAATTACTGCTATTGTACATTGCAATAGCTAAATTATTTAATTTTTTACATTGACCATTTGCCATTACTTCAAAATTTCCATGATACGTATACTCTCCAGTTCCCTATATATTTTTAGTGTTACAGAGAGGTGATCAACAAATACCATTTTTATATAGGTCTGGACAGAAATGATATAAAGGTTATACAATCTTATTATTATTATTATATATATATATATATATATATATATATATATATATATATATATATATATATATATATATATATATATATATATATATATATATATGTATGCATGTTAAACAGGGCACTCATTTATGTGATAAAGATTAATAATGCTTGAATGTCAATCTGTTTTGTCTATAAATCTCAGAAACAGCAGTATGTGCAGTCACATTTTTGTATGAATACATTAGTGGTTCATCTTCAAACATTATACAATAATACAACAAAAATAATTTCAAGCTCTATATGTTTAACCCTGTTAACTTTTTACAAAGAAATTAGTATTTGTTATTTAATCTATTTACATGTTGTCATATTCATTGGTAAACCATGTAAGGAGATGGGTTCTTAGTTCAGTTGATCATCATCATAAATACCTGTTGGAGCAATACCCAGAAGTAGTACTCTAAAGGTGGAGCTTTTCATAGAGGTTTAGGTTTGCCTGATTAGATCATATTGTAAAAGGAAGGGGTGGATGCATAGGTAAGTAATGGTGTACATTCCTGAACTTTGGTATTTTGGTCCATAGTTGGCAGACATATTCATAGCCTTTCAGTAATGAGCTTTGACTTTATTTAAAGTGTTTTTTATACACTTTGTATTTCCTTTTTTTTTCAACCTTTTTGATCCCATAATTTCCCTGATAAATTTCATGTCTTCCCATGCTGGTAGGACTATTAAGTCAAAGATTGGTAAACTGTACATAGAGTTGCATTAGTCAATATCAGTATATGTTTGTAGCATCTTCAAATTTGTCTTAGACCGGAGTAATTTACATTTGGTAATGCTGTATAATTTTTTATAAAGAATTACTGGCCTTACTAAGAGGATAGAATCTCTAAATCTCATATGTTCAACAGTATATAAGCCATATTGCAGCCAATACAACAATACTTCACAATATGGCAACGGATATATGCTATAGGGCTTTTGACATTCTCATCCAGCAGAAAAGGGAAATGTAGAGATCACCATGACATATTTAAAGGGTGTTATCCCCTAAGAACCACAAACCCCTCAGTTTCCAAAAAAGCATCATTTTCCAGCATTTTCCAGGCACCAATTGCAACTTCTCATGCTTGAGCAGGGCATGAACTGCTGACCCCTCAGATGAGAGGCTGACACATTACCACTGTACTAGCCTGGAGGCTTCCCAATGAGCAAAGGGATATTATATGATGTAGACTATTATCTGGCACTTTTTATAAGTTTTCTTTATAGTATAGTACAGGGTTTTCCTGTACATGAAAAGTATATATAATTGACTGTAATTTGTCTTACAGGGTAAAGATCTCCCAGAGAATGTGAAAAAAATTATTCAGGCACTTGTATGCAAATTAACATCCAACAAGAAGGAAGGCATATCCACTGGCCTTCATACAATCCTGAAACAGAAAAAACAGACAGTAGAGTTCACTTACGAAACTCTAAAGGCGGAATTCGATGGCAAAGTTACTAGAGATGATGTAAGTATGTGTGGGCTCAGATTGTGTATTTGTTGAGTTTTTTTTTTTCTTGATGCCCTGATTGTGATGAAGGTTACCCTGAAGTTCTAGAAATCAGGATGATTACATACAGGTATATTATATAATTAGAAAGAGGTGTGAGAATTCTTTCCAGCATTTTGCTTTATCTTCTTCCCCGCTGCACAGGAAATATATGATGTGCTGGTCTCACAAATCCTAGGATACAGTGCTTTGGTACGGTCAGGACACCTTGGAAACCATCCGGAAGTACTTAAAGATACTGTTGTGAGATTGCTAGCCATTAAAGAAGGGGGAGAGGCTATTGACATCATGAGAACAACTTTGGTCATGGATATTTTGGAAAGAGTGAGTTGACATCATATGCTATATCTTCAAAAGTTTTTGTTATGCGGATTTTGAAGATATTGAATAATTGAATATAATCAATTTGTATTATTTGTTCATTGATAGTAATATTTTTTGTTAAATCTGTTTAACAGTATAGTGATTCTCCAGTGCATGATATAGCATTGGAGCAATTGAAGACTCTTGCTAATGTGCCTATGAAGAAAATAAAGCCCTGTTTATTGTGGATCCGCTTAGTCTTGATGAAGAAATGTTCAGATATGCCTAACTGGCTCTCTTCTACCCTTGATGCCAGCAACTATACAGCTCTTGGTGAAGTGCTCAAGGTAAGAGCTCTATGCTGAGTATTAATATGCTATATTGAGATTCATTGATGTTGTCCTGCTGTAGATACATAGAACAAATACAACTGGCATATACGTTTCCTTTCTCTGTATAGGTACAATAACCCTGTATAACTGGAACCTTGAAATGCTGTTTGCTTTATATTTTTGGAATATTTTTTGTAGTTCATTGGAAATTTTGATTTTGACAAATACAAATTTATTGAGAAATACTTTCTTTAGACATAGGTATAAAATGCAATCCAAAATAATGAAGACTGAAGAGGGAAAATGCCAATTCTGTTGTTCCTACCTCTAGCATATCATATGGTTTCTCCAGATACAAAAGGTTAGAATATGGCTTTACAGTCTATATATTATTCTTTTTCTTTTTTCTTGTATTCAGACATGCAAGGCATTGCTTCCAAAAGTACATCCATTAATAGAAGAGTTAGCCAGTGCCCTTGCAAGAAGTGGCACCAACACCAAGTTCCCATTGGGCGAGTTTTGGAGAGCCAACTTTTACTCTCGTTTACATTCCTTTTCCAGCGAAGATTTACAGCTTGCTCTAATTTTCCTCAAGGTAATGTATTTTGTATTGTCATTTGAATAAAAGATAATTGCATAAATTGAAATCCTGGGCATGTCCTTAGTAGCTGATCGTAGCATTTCCCCTCCCCCCCCATTTGTTTTTCCTTTCTTTTTTTATCTTTTTCTTTTTTTCCTCCTCCCCCTCCCTCCTCCAGTTTGTTTGGGAGAAAGAGAATTTCTAGGTTCAAGTTTCTATTAGTTAAGAGGAAAAAAATTTCTTGTTACCCAATTATGGCAGTTCTACACCAATTTATATTAGTAATGGATAAATCAGTCATGTTCTGAACATTGTTTTTATAGTCCTTTATATAATCTTTTGTGTTTCAGATTCTTATACCCAAATTGAAGAGAAAATCTGAGGTAACAACAATTTTAGGAGAAAAGGTGATCACATTCCTGCTCAAAAATGCCAATTCCAACAAAGTTTTGAAGGCGGCGCTCCCAGACTTGAGCAGAGTACTTGAACAGTTGGTTCAGAATCATGAGGACAAGGAAGAGTAAGTAGTCCTTCGGGTATTTTTGTTTTATTCTCTCTTTTTATCTTTGGAAACTGACAAAGTAGCAATTGTTGATTAAATTTATATGCTCCTTTATTAAATCTGTTGAATACCAGAGAATATTATTAAATTTACTTAATTCTTCAAGGCTGCTACGCCTTCTAACAAAGGACAGAAAAGCAAGAAAAATTAAATTGAAAGAGAAGCAAGCAAACCCAGAACTTCAAAGCACTTGGGTTTGTTAAACTTTCTTTTAGACTGAACAGTGTACATTGTGACAAGTGTAGAAAAAGGTTTGAGTAGGTACTACTGGCTACCATTATAATAGTAACAAACAGCCTGCATTCGGACTCTCTGACTACACATGTTCAGACATTGATTTATCATTCTTGTATTCAGCTTTGTATTTCAGGAAAATACATCCTTGACTGTTGCTGTTGGATGTAAGTTTAATTCATATTTAAGCTTGATTGCAGCACCCTTAGCATTCCTTTTGTGTTTACTTTCCAGGGAAGTCCAGTTAGCTGTTGTTGAGGCACTGATTCTGCCTCCAGGCACTATACAGTTTGATTCACTGACTAAAACCAACATGGTGCAGAGGACTATTAAACATTTGACAGCCTCAGATGTCAAGAAACTTGGTGACTATATCACAAAGCGTATAATGGTAAGTATTTACAGTTTGTTTTAATGCACGAAGGTGAGGTGGATATTCTTCTTCTTCTTCTTCTTTTTTTGAGAAAGATGAATAGAGACAATTATTGTAAAATTATTTCTTAACCAATGCTGATGAGAGCTTCACACATCAAACTGGCCCACAGGCTACGTGTCACACATAGTAAGTTGCCCATTAGGAAAATCAGAAGCATAGGAAACTTATAATTTTCCCACACACTATGAATTTAGTTGCACCATATATGTTTGTCTAGTTACTGGCTGAAAACTTATCTTAGCCAACTTTTAAAGGACTTTTACATCCTAAATCACAGCAGTCACAGCTAAACAAGTAAAATAGCTGTTTCGTACAACAACTTAGAGTGGGCTCGATTCCTGCGACATGGGGTTATTTGCCACCCGGAAAGGAATCCAGTTATGCCATACTTTTATATGTATACCATTAATCAATGAGGTCTTAAAAGTAACCCTTTTGTTTAAAGTGTTCAGTGCACAAAGCCCAATCAGAGTGGGTTAGATATACATGTAATTTTTCCTATATCAATGGTATCAGAAATACATTTTTACTATTCTTATATAAGCAATATCAATAATATACATCAAAGATATGGAATTATTATCACATGAAGGCTCATCAGCTTCCTGAATAATTTTTTAAACTAAAAGAGAAAAACATCATATAGAAGCGCACACATTTATTGTAGGTAATAGGTCACAGGGACTGAGAAGCATACATTTGACAGTCCCATATAATAAACAAGCTTGTAGACTGTGAAGTACCCTACTCATGGGTATGACAAATATGTAGATTTTAAAATAATACTAAGTAAACTGGATAACTAACGTGAATTTGCGATTGTAACAAACAGGGCAAGGATGACCAAGAAGGGATGTATGCTGAAGTCCTGGCTCTCCTGTTAATGAATCCAAAGATAAAGGAAGACGGCCCCTGGAAGACGGAGCAACTGAAAACACTGATTAAAGCAACTCTGGTGTCACAGAAAAAGAAGACCAGTTATCTCAGAAATACGCTGATGCAGTGAGTAGACAGCTTTAGCTTTTATTGTCCTCCTTTTAGCCTAGAAGGATATTTCCCTTCATTTTCTCTCTCTGGATTTTTTGTCCTTTCAGTTGTAGGTATTTGTTTTCTCACGGATTTTTATTTATTATTATTATTATTTTTTTTTTTTTAAGAAGAAGTATTTCAGGGCTTTTATGATTTCATTGGATTTTTTTTTTCCCATTATTTCTTTTACTATGGATATTTTAGATAGTCTTAAGGTATTTGTTACTGCCTTTAAACACCTAATTCTTCTGTTTCAAGAAATAAAAAGTTACTAATCATTATGAAACTTCCAGTCTATGTAAGAAAGCAAGTAGTTAAATTAGATTACAAATCATCAAAGGAAAGTTTTATACATTTTTTTTTCTTTTTCCTTTGACAGAGGACTTTATCAAGAATTACAGAGGGCTCCATCTGCTTTGGCATTTTTGAAACCCATTGTTGATTTCACTCACAAGGAGATCGAGGCTTGCACTGAAGACAATGGATTGGTCAGTCCACAGAGCAAAGAACTATGGGATAATGTCAAGAAGAAAATTGCCGTACTGAATTCTAAGCAAGGAAAATGGCCGAAAAATAGTAACCAGGTTCTGAAGGTAATAGCTTTTTTATTTTTTATTTTGTTTATTTATTTATTTTTATTTTTATTTATTTATCTATTTATTTATTTATTTATTTGTTTAGAAGAGAAGTGTTTAATATATTTCTTCGTAATTGATAATTGTTACTTCATACTCTTTTGTTTATTATTATTATTTTTTTTTTTTTTTTTTTTTTTTTTTTTTTTTTTTTTTTTTTCCATGTACAGACACTTTGCTCATAATCAGATCCATAGACATTAAGTAATAGGAACTAATCCCATGAAACTGTAATTCAGCAAGTTGATTTATAATAATTGGGGAAATGATACTTTGACTCATTTGCGCCGGGTAAAAATGAACAAAAAATGGAGGGAAATGCTGTGCTCATTTTTTATACTTTTTGTGAAATTTCTCTACACTAGATGGCTCTGCCTTACCTGATTTCATTTGGCGGGAAAATGTATTTTTACTAGTACTATGAATATCAATGGTTATTTTTATTATAAACATTATAATTACTGTAATGTTAGTAACAGCAAAATAAGATAACGTATAATATTTTCGTAAATTAAAGAAAAGGCTAAACAGGCGAGACAGGCAGTACAAGTACAAGTGCAGCCATCTATGTGTAAAAACAATTAAACAAGTAAACTTACAGTGGGCCCGTCACATATACGTGACACCTGGCGTGAAGGGATTAAACTTTTAAAATTTGGTGGGTAATATGAAGTGAGCAGTCATCCTTATTTTTATTGTGCTATGTACAGGTATTACAATTAGTTTCCCAAGCATTTTATTTAGTCCAATTTTGGGGGATATACATCTAGGAACACCACTTGGTCAAAAAATTAAACATATCTCGGCATCAGAAGAACTTTAGTAATCTATGGATTGAATAGCATGCCTTTACCCAGTAATTCAATTGATCAATTCTCCCAACTGAGAATATAATCATCATTTCATCTTTGTTACAAAAAAAAAAATAATAATAATAATAACATTGGCATGCCCTACAGGTGCTGTATTTAGCCATGACTTTCTACATCATGCAAGATTTCATTGGAGCAAGCAAGCTTCTGGAAAAGCTTGATGAATGCCTCGAGGTAGCACAGAAGCAGGGAACTAAACAGGCCACCAAAGAAGAATTGCCCTGGGTGGTCACAGCAACAGAGTTGATCCTAAATTATGCTCCGAGTGACAGCACTTTCATCAGGGCAGTGGCGCAGTCTGCTTTCAAGTAATGTATCTTTCAAAAGATGTTTGTTTTCATTTTCCTTTTTTTTTTTTTTTCCTATTTTTTCTCTCTTGTGTTGTTTTTACTTTGCTCCTTTTGTTTTCTTTTTTGTTATATCTATATACAGATAGTCCCCTACTTATGAACATTCCATACATACAAATAATTTTTTTTTTATGTACTAAAGTCCAAAAAATTGTTTGAAAGATGCTAGCAAACTTCAAATTTCCCGGCCACGAATATAGTTCAAGAGTCTGGTACTGTATAAGGTATGTCGTACTTATTGGGATTTATTTACAGGTATTCTTAATGTAAACAAAACTTTAAAACAATGGGAAAAAAGGTAATGGAGACCCGACTTTCGACTTATAAATAAATCAACTTGCAAACAGCCTCTCAGTCCCCATTATGTTCTTAAGTTGGGGACTTACTGTATATTTCTCTCTCTCTCTCTCTCTCTCTCTCTCTCTCTCTCTCTCTCTCTCTCTCTCTCTCTCTCTCTCTCTCTCTCTCTCTCTCTCTCTCTCTCTCTCTCTCTCTCTCTACTCTCTACTCTCTACTCTCTACTCTCTACTCTCTACTCTCTACTCTCTACTCTCTACTCTCTACTCTCTTTCTCTCTCTTTTTCTCTTTTCACCCTACACTGATGGTGCCAGAAATTTCTGTGTTACTCATTCTGGTGACTTCTGGCAACTGTCTAGCCTTTCCTCTGGGCATTTGCTGTGTACCGTGGCCCTTCCTGCTTGTCATGATGCCTATTGCTGTAAACATCATAACGAGTAGATCTTTCACAACGGCTAAAGGTGGCTATAAGAAGTTAATGCTACTTTTCTTTTGTTTTCCTCCATCTTCATTTCTTAATTCAGCATTCATGTCTTCTCTATACTCTTATTACCTCTATTCAATTTGGAGTACAAATCTCTTTCTGTGAACTTTCCCAAGGAATAAAATCAAGCACTAACGGTGTCTGTCATTGGTTTACGGGAATCGTCCTGAAACAAGGTGTGGGGGTTAGCTGGGGGGATGAATGTGGCCAAAATACCATACACCATGGGGTTTGGAAGGGTAATTTCATCTTATAAATGGACCTTGAGGATTGGTTTAATCTCTTGTTTACTCACATTTATATGAAAACCTAAAGCTTCATTCATTTTTTTCTCTCTCTTTCTTACAGGTTGATTGTACATGACCAGACAACAGAGACAATATCAATGCTCGTTGATGCAGTTGTGCCCGAGGGCACGGAGGAACAAGATATTGAATCAGATGAAGAGGAGGAGAAGGAGGAGGAAGGTGAGGATGAAGATGAAGAAATGAGTGAGGATAATGATGATGAAAAAAATGAAGAGGATGGTAAAGGAGAGGATGAAGGGGATCCACTGGATGAGATAGATATAGGTGGTGAAGAAGACATGGACGATGATCAAGATGATGAGAGTGATGAAGATGAATCAGCAGCTGCTAAGGACATGACTGCTAAGTTGCGCTTAGAGCTGGCACTTGCACAAGGAGATCATGAGGTTAAAATTGGTGTTGAATCACAGTTGCTATCATTAGATCTATTGCTTGATTTTTTTCCCTTTCTTTTTCTTTCTTTCTAAATTTCAGTTCATGGTAGTAGCAGATATTCTTTTCAATTTTTCTTTCTTTTTATGGGGAAGCTATTATTAAATTGTTCACCTTTAGAAACACAAAATGTGTTCTATAGTATGTAGCATTTTTCCATTGTCTTTATTAGAAGTAATACAGTTTATTTTTTTCCTTCCAATAGGATATTGATTTAGATGAAGCTCCAGAGGAAGAACTGGAAAAGCTGGACGTAGCAATGTCTGCAATTTTTGCAAAGTACCGTGGAACCAAGAAAGGAAAGAAGGAACCGAAGAAGAAACTGAGAGATATACATTTGGAGTGTCGGTAAGTTCAAGTGGACTGTATTACAAGGTGTCATATTTCTGAACATCATTTTTGAAAAAGCCTTCTTAACACATTACCCACATTTTGGAGAAATACTATTTCTTCTCGTGAATTATTCTTGGGGATAGGTGGGATATTGCCCACTAGCTGGTTGTAGTGGCTTAACAATTGCACCAACTTGATGCAGAAGAGAGACTCAATAAGTACACTAATGAACCTATTGCTTGATTTTTTTCCCTTTCTTTTTCTTTCTTTCTAAATTTCAGTTCATGGTAGTAGCAGATATTCTTTTCAATTTTTCTTTCTTTTTATGGGGAAGCTATTATTAAATTGTTCACCTTTAGAAACACAAAATGTGTTCTATAGTATGTAGCATTTTTCCATTGTCTTTATTAGAAGTAATACAGTTTATTTTTTTCCTTCCAATAGGATATTGATTTAGATGAAGCTCCAGAGGAAGAACTGGAAAAGCTGGACGTAGCAATGTCTGCAATTTTTGCAAAGTACCGTGGAACCAAGAAAGGAAAGAAGGAACCGAAGAAGAAACTGAGAGATATACATTTGGAGTGTCGGTAAGTTCAAGTGGACTGTATTACAAGGTGTCATATTTCTGAACATCATTTTTGAAAAAGCCTTCTTAACACATTACCCACATTTTGGAGAAATACTATTTCTTCTCGTGAATTATTCTTGGGGATAGGTGGGATATTGCCCACTAGCTGGTTGTAGTGGCTTAACAATTGCACCAACTTGATGCAGAAGAGAGACTCAATAAGTACACTAATGAACCAAGGTGTGGGTAACATATTGAATGAAGACAATTAGACAAAACAAACACACACTCACTCACTCATCCACACCTACTCACTCATTCACTTACTCACTCACTCACTTACTTGAAAACAGCCCAAAATAATTATGAAACTTAAGAATTAAAAACACAACCCCAACAACAGTATGCTCAGTGTTTCCTTTTCCAATCACTTCGCAGAGCCTACGACTTACTGGAGGTGTACATTGAGCAGCACCCAAGCATGGGGTTCACTCTGGGCTTGGTAAGACCTCTCCTGGTGACTTTGAATTCTCTAGCCACCACGAGTGAAAAAGGGGAGAAGAAGAATGACACCAGGATCATGAGGTTAAGGTAAGACTTGGAGGTTACCAATGCATTTTGAGATTATAGTCATTGAAGTTCTATATCAAAAGATTTGTATCGTTGTAACAGTAGCCCCCCATTGTATTCTTTTTTAGTTGTTGGCTATATATATTCATGTACAGTTGGCCCTAAGTATTTGCAGGTTTGGCAGCCATGGGTTCAACTAGATAAAGCTATTTGTAACAGTACATGCTTAATGCATGTACTGTTTCAAATAAATTGATGTGTTAGAAGAACCTGATGAGCTCTCCTGCCATTTTACAGATCCTCGGTGTCTCACTAATACTTGTTGTGTGAGCAGTCTTCACCACACTTCTTAGTTCTTTGTTACTTTTATTGTGTATATTTCTGTGAAAAATAGTCCTAAATTTATAACTGCTCTTTATATTTGAGTTGTTGAATTATAGCTTCAAGTAAGTTTGCAGTGTTAAAGCCTTTTTTTTTATGTGAATAGTACATATTGAGTACAACCTAGAAAAATATGACTCTGCCTGGTATTTTTCATCCCCTAGACCTCAGAGCCAACTCTCCTTTATCTCTTTACCTCTTCCTACCCCATTAGGCCTTAACCTGTGTCTGAGTGGCTTCTCTTCCTTTCCAGTCTTCCCTCTTTACTTTTATATCCCGCTGAAGTCGCCCACCATTCATTCCCGTCCCATTTTCTCTTGGGAACCCTGCTGTTCCATCATGGAGTTATCTATCATTTGTTTCTCTCTTTGTAGTTTTTATTTTATAATTATATATATGCCTATATAGATAGTGAGGGCCAACTGTGTGTATTTGTATGTACAGAATGTATTTTTGTTTTGTATGAAATTCTTCAGATTTAGTTTATCTTT